CATGGCAATGACGTAATGGAGGTAGAAAGATTTGTCATAATTATAAGTTTTTGGCACAGCATATTGCAGCACCTTAGATGACTAGTACATTTAATTTTATTTTGCACTTGTCCAGAAAAAAGATCTTCTGCAGAGCTGCCATCTGGTTAATGGCAAAAGTGGCAGTCCACAAGGAAATGTCACTTGTCCTTCCTGAATTCTACTCAGACTACTCAGCCTCAGACTTGAGTTGTTATCTTTAACCCTGCAACCTGTGACACTTATACCCAATGTTATTCATAACAGAATATATATCTACAGTTCAAGTTGAGTATATTGGATATTAACTTATAGTACATAGTACATAGCCTCAGTGCACGGTTCCTTTAAATGAAAAAGGAACAAAATAAAACGTTCCATTTCAATAGTGAATTTCTTCAAGAGAAAAAAATAAATTGATAATGACTGTCTCATATGTATACCTCGTTAAACAGTTATTGGATTAACTCTGGCTCATTTCAAACTATGATTTGAAGGAAATGAAGTCAAATTTGCATAAACATTATCCTGTCAAAAATTGAAACGAATACACATCATGTTTTAAATTAACACAATAAATGAAAATTTCAGTGTTGCTATAAAAAAACATCCCTGAGTCACGGAAACCGTCCACAATTTTCTTCCTTATAACTGTGCAATTCTCTATAAATGTATTTGCCAATGAACGTACCAGGAAACAACATGACACCTGACATCTGAATTAACAATCAGCCTATCACAAGAGCAAAGTTAAACACGCCCTTGACAATCAGAGCTGAATTAATCATCCACATATACCATATTTTCTTGTGTAGCGTGTGCACTTACGTATGATGCACACATCCCATTCTTGGGTACATGTTTTAAGAAAAAATGCTATTGCGTATATTGTGTGCAGTCTACGGGTGATTCAGTTATGATGAGTCACTGTTTGAGACTTCCCGCAGTCTTGCTATTTCGATCACGAAAACAGTATGTTGGCATATAATAGTCAAATAACAAAGAATTTTTACATGTCAAAGTCTGACGATTATGTATACATTCTCTGACAACTAAGGTTCGTTTCAAGGCATCAGTGGCGGTAATCTGACCATGGTTGCTGTAAATATAGGTGAAAAAATTATAAAAGTTTTTTTAATCTGGATACTTCTAATAACCTGACACGTTACATTTCCTGATGAATTGATGTTTCGACACCATGAGTGAACATGCCCCAATGTATTGCATGGATCAATAATTCTAGAGACTTTACTTCTTAGTTCACCTGACTGAAATTCAGGTGAGCTTATGTCGTGGCCTTTTTGTGAGTCATTTGTCCTAAACATCTTCTACTCAGAAACCACTGATCCAATGGTACTGAAAATCCTTACACTTATTCCAATAAAGAGGTTGGAATCCAACTTTCAATATGGCCGCCTTGTCAGTCACATTGAAAACCTATTTTAGACCATTATTCGGTCATTTTTGTTGAAAATGAAATGAAATGAAATTTGGCATGTGCAATTGTAGTGGGGCTCAACAGACATGTTCCATTTTTTGCAATATTATAGATTTTGACCTTGATTTGACCTTTTCACTTCGACCTTACTGCAAGCTGAAACTTGTCCTGGACATTGCTGTCAGTTTTGATCAAAATGTAATGAAATTTAGTTGATGTGTAACTAGTTGCTGGGCTGAACACATGTTCCATATTCATCAATATATTAAATTTTGACCTTTATTTGACCTATGCAGTTTAACAATACTGAAAACTGAAACTTACTGTCAGATGTGTTTAAAATTTAATGAAATTTGGTGTGTGCAGTTAGTAGTGGTGCTCAAAATATATGTTACGTTTTTTGCAATATATTAAATGTTCACCTTTACATTTTAACCATGCTCCTAAATTCTATTAAAATACATCATCAGTAAACATCATCTCAGAAACCACTGGATCAATGAAGCTGAAATTCCACATAATTGTTCCCAACAAAGATGACATCCCAATTTGTTCAAGAGTATCAAATACGATCTGCCACAGCAGCCATATTGATCAATTCTTTTGGCCATTACTCTTACCTCATTTGTTTGACTAACTGTCTGGTTTTATTTCAATCGATGGTCCAATTAACACTGTGCTAATGTAGCTGTATAAATCTAATGGTTTATTATGACCTTGTTACTTAACCTGGATTTTATATTGTGCGCTGAATATCTTACTTCTGTCATTTGGAATTTGGTTTGATTTTGTTTACCGCATTAAATGTATTGATCACCGTTGCCTTGAACAGGAAGAACTACATACATGTATATTACTTGTACTGTATAACCAGGAGCTTGCAACTCAGACAGGGTACATGACCAATGGTGTTGAGTTGTTTAAATACCAATGTATTATATTTTGCTTCAGTCTCTGACAGAATATAAATAATGCGACTATTACCTAAATTTAAGTTCTTTCACATGTGGACTGGACCGAAAAACATAATGTGCATTTGAGAGACAGTTTCAAAACTGCACTAAAAAGAATATATCATACATTTCAGTTTCACACAAAATCTTCCTGAAGCAGACTTGTCTTCCCACCAGGTGTTTTTCTCACCAGAAGCTCTTACATAAAGAAATAAGGCATGCACAAACGGAACATGGTCAGTTAATTCTGAAGTGCTGTGACAGATCATTTAATTAGTTTAGCATGTTAAATGCATGTGTTTATCTGTTGGCTTGAATGTTTACACTGCAATCAGCAGTATTCTGCTATTCTGTAAATCTGTATGTGATCGAGTGACTGATATCATGAGCAGAGTCCCACGTAGTCAGGGTATGACTGCACGCATTCAACAAAGTCACTGTGTCTGACCCACCGATCCAGTCTAGTTGCCATGTATGACCAGCAAGAGTCCTGAGGTCATATTCTAACCCGGGCTCCCTATGTAGTAGCTAAATGTATAACATGGGTGCAATTATGCTAAGGTAGGGCCCTTAACAGATGAAAGAAATCTATCAGGTTCTCAAGTAGTTCATGAAACATTCTGACAGTTCGTCATGTTTTGTACATAAACTGTATGATAGTAGTGTATGAATATTGCCAACTCTTGTATCAAATTTCCAGGAGTCATCGCCACATTCTTTGAGATATTCCTCGTTTACTCTAGATATTCTCAAAGATATTATATTGGATTAGTAGTTTATTGCCTTCAAATGACTACATAAGACATGTAAGCGTAGCCAGTGTAGCTTAGATTTAAGGCATCGCCAGCAAGTATGATGTTAATATATCAGTTGTATCCAGTAAGTGTATGTTGTATATATTGTGGTGTCAGTCTTTCTTCTGGGAATAGCATTTCAGTATTAGTGTACATGTACACACGTTTTCGATCTTCATTTCAAGCGAGAAACCAAGGAACATGACTCTTTGTTAGAATCAGTTTTCTGTCTAATCTTGACTTTTGTCTAAACCAGACTTAACTCTCGGTCCCAGGCAAGTCCGGTTAAGACAGATTCCACTGTATCCCATCTTTTAAAATAAGTGTTATATTGGACAAAGGTTGTCATGATTTGGATACCATGATAAAAGCATCAAATTCTGGTTCCAACGTTGTTTTTTAATACTGTGAAACTTTATTGAAATATATACAAATCAATATAGAAATGTTGTCTTTCTCTGATGTTTTGAAAGACACACCATGATGTCAAACAAAAGGCTTCAATTACATTTGATGATAAAACTCATACTCAAGTAGTAATTGGGTAACATGAGTCAAATTACACTTAAACAATCAGGTGAACATGAGTATCTAAGAACAATGTCATCAAGAGCCATCCATTTCATTATTCCTCATCTTTATATGTAGTATGATATCACCATCTCTTATGATTTGGGATGATAGCTCATGTACATGACTTCAATATCGATATTTGCGTTGGAACAGTTTCATTACTCATGAACAAAACAATACAAAAACATATTCTTGGGATCTTAAGCAAATTTTCACAATGTTTAAGAGTTACAATGGCCTTGTTCTAAGCATAGTAGAGTTGGGTCCCTTACCTTTGAGCACTTTAATACCAATCTGTCTTTGATGTCATAGAAGAAAAACAATTTTTGTCATTACAACAAGTTATTTTCGCATTGAAAGTGTTACGTTATACATAAGCATACAAATCCATTTGATATATCAGTATGTCGTTTCAAAAATAGGCAGTATTTCTTCTCTCAGTACCACATGTGCAGTTCCAATATCAGATATGAAAAGCATAGTAGGTGAGAATATAGAAATACTGTTGGACTATTTTGTGAAAGAAACAAATAAAAAAGTTAAATGTAACTCTGAGACACTTTATGTCTGAAGGATTTGTGTCTCACCCACACCAAGTTCCACGATGTGCATGTGTCAGTGACCAAACATTGATCTGGATGGCCATGGATTGGGACGTCTATGAATGGAAGTAATCATTGCGATGATGTTGCTGATAGAGTATCACCCTGATCATAGGTATTCAGGGATCTGGCAATGATAAGGCAGGTATGTTTTATATGTATCTTTATCACCACTGATAAAATAAAATTGTCTCTCTTCAAGCCACAGTACCGTACATTGCTACAATAGGTCAAGACTATTTTGAGACTTTAAAAACATCAAAAAATATTTTTACAAAGATACACATAATGTAAAATATTAGGGTTTTGTTTGATAAATTCTGATGGTAAACAGAAGTCGTTCATGTAATGTAATCAGTGGTTCGGAAAACGTTGTTACGTAACGCACGTGCAATGCGTGCTCGGGCTTGGCTACCGATTGTCACTTGTCGTCTGAGAAATAAACGAAGTGGGAAGTTGGCAGGTTGTCTCTTGGTTATTGAAAGAACACTACAATTTTGGCGACGAGGATGGGATTCTACATGTGTGGTACCAAGAAGATCAATCTGTAAGTTGGTGACGAACATTCGCTGTGTTAATGGGACTGATAGCGCTTGTTGTAGTGTGCGCTGTGCTGTTAAAAATGGCGTCCTCGACATATGGTCGAATGGAGGAATTTTCAGTGTCTGAAAATGCAGACTGGGTTGAGTATATTGAAAGACTTAATCAGTATTTCGTCGCTAACGATGTTGAAGATGCCGGGAAGAGGAAAGCGATATTGCTTACCATAGTAGGTAAGGAAACCTACTCCCTCATGAGGACTTTAGTCTCACCGGCAAAACCCGCTGACAAGTCATATACAGAATTGGTTGATGTCGTTAAAAGCCATGTGAATCCCAAACCATTAGTTATCGCTGAAAAATTCAAGTTTTATCAGCAAAAACAACACTCTGGTGAATCAGTGAGTGCATTTATGGCTGAACTACGCAAACTGAGTGAACATTGCGATTTTGGTGGATTTCTTGATGATGCAATGAGAGACATGTTTGTGTGTGGACTCGCTTCAGCAGCTATGCAACGTAGATTGCTTGCTGAGAAGGATTTGAACTTAAAGAAATCAATGGAAATATCTTTGAGTATGGAAGCTGCGAATAAGGAGACCAATGAGTTTAGTCATAAAGTGAATGTACTAGTGAAGTCTGACAAGAACCGGAAGTATTCAGATAAGCAAGTTGGATCGATGTCTCGGGATAACCGTGAATGTTGGCGCTGTAGAAAGAAAAACCACAACAGTGACAATTGCTATTACAAGAAAAGCATATGTCATATCTGTCAGAAGCAAGGACACATTAGCAGGAGGTGCCATGAGAAACCACAGGAGAAGAAGGCCCATAAACCAGAAAAATTTAAGAAAAAATCATCCAAAGACAGGTATATGGATTCAACAGTGGAACATGAGCTACCTGATGGCAGTGATGAGGATGCAGACTCTTATGAGGACACATTGAGTAATACTTTATTCACTGTAAAATCTATTGCAGGTGATAAGCCCATCTACATTCCTATGTCTGTTGAAGGGTCAAACATTTCATTGGAGTTGGATACTGGAGCTGGAGTAACTTTGATTTCGGAGGAGCAGTACAAGAAAGATTTTAGGCATATTCCGCTGAAAACCACCAACCTGCCTTACTTGGAGACTTATACTGCAGAAAAGTTCCCTGTTTTGGGAAAAATACAGGTGGATGTTGACTATAATGAACAGTCTATCACTTTACCTGTATATGTGGTGACAGGAAGTGGACCGGCGCTCCTAGGCAGAAACTGGCTATCTCAGATACAGCTTGACTGGTATTCCATTGGCAGAGTCAATACCGTGCGAGTTGACAATTCCCAGAAGGACTTGGAACAGTTGTTGTCAAAGTATTCAGCATTATTTGATGGCAGTTTGGGAACTGTGAAGGGTGTTAAGCTTCATCTGTCTGTAAAACCCGGAGCAAAACCAAAGTTCTATAAACCAAGAACTGTGCCATATGCACTGCAGGATAAGGTAGCTGAGGAATTGGATAGACTAGAGAAGATTGGGGTCATTGAGAAAGTGGAATATTCTGAATGGGCTGCTCCCATTGTACCGATACTCAAACCTTCAGGCGCTGTGAGGATATGTGGGGATTGTTCGCATGAAATCTCGAGCAAGGATTCATGTGTGGTGGCCAAATTTGGATACGGACATAGAGCAGCTAGTTAGAAACTGTGCATCTTGTCAAAGTGTACAACCGGTCCCACCTACAACCAGACAGAATCCCTGGATCTGGCCTTCCCGTCCTTATCAACGGATTCACGTTGACTTTGCTGGCCCCTTTATGGGTGAGAACTTTCTTATTGTGGTGGATGATTTGTCCAAATGGCCTGAAGTAGTTCAGATGAAATCAACAACAACAATAAGTACCATAAATGTTTTGAGAAAGCTCTTTTCTTCTTATGGCCTTCCCGATCAGCTAATCTCTGACAATGGACCTCAGTTTACCTCTCACGAGTTCAAGACATTTCTGAAGAAAAATGGAGTAAAACATATTCTGTCCTCGACGTACCACCCAAGCTCTAATGGTGAGGCAGAACGATTCGTCAGAACGTTTAAGACTACTATGAAATCCACGAGGGCATCTACGTCTACTCTTCAACAGCAACTGTGCAGATTTCTGCTGTCCTACCGAACCACACCTCACAGTACAACGAAAACGACCCCTGCAGAACTGTTCATGGGGAGGCGTATTCATACTCGACTCGACTTGCTGAGACCGGATCTTGCTTCTTCAGTTCAAAGAAAAGTGTCTCCGAAAGTGGATGCTGGGAGGCATTTCGAAGTTGGCGACCCAGTCCTGGTGAGGGACTACAGGGGACGTACCGAACAATGGCTCCAGGGGGTTGTACTAAAAGCATTAGGTCCTGTGACTTACAAGGTTCAGGTAGAGAACTTTGAGTGGAAGCGCCATGTTGATCAGCTAATAACTATGCCAGGTACGCCTGATCTATCAGTAACATCCACAACTGAGGACATAACAATCCCTGATAGGTCTGAAAGTGCGCCAATGTCTGGGGTAGAGAAGATTCCAGTTGAAAGTACCAAGGGTTTTCATTTTGATAAATTACACAATGTAGTACTGTTGTCACTCAGGCCCATGTATTAATTCAATCTAAATCAGACTTTTGGAAGAAAGCGGCAAACAAATATATTTTTTTCAGAATACCAAAGATGTTTTGTGTTGCACCGATGACATCACAATGCATGTAGGTTAATATATCGATACACAGGTGTTCATGATCACATCACCAGAGGTTATTACAGGAAATAGCTAATCACTGCTTGAATTGAATATATTTTCTGTTAACATTCTCTCACATCACAAACACTTAGCTGAAGATTACAGAGACATATAAATCAACCATTATGTGTTTCTATTACACTAAAAACTTCATATTTTCTGTTGGTGACATCCATGTGAGTGCTATGGAATCAATGCTTTACAGTACATGCCTAAGGTGGAAGAGGTAACATTCTGTAGATCAATTTTTCAACATTGACAAACATGATGCCATTTGTTTGTGTAATCATACACTGAAAGCCTTTCAAAAATCTTATTGATGATCAAAGAATGGGCTCAGTCCTATCAGTATCATACCAGTGTTACCTCATATTTTCTGTCTGTAAAGGTATTTTTTTTTATTGCTTGTCGTAAGAGGAGACTTAACGGGATAGGGTGGTCAGGCTCGCTGACTTGATTGAAGCATGTCATTGATCCCAATTGCGTGGAATGATGCTCATGATATCAATCACTGGATTTTCTGGTCCTGACTCGATTATTTACAGACTGACGTCATATAGCTGGAATATTGCTGAGTGCGGCGTAAAACAACAAACAAAACAAAATCATTCCATTATGACCAAGTATACATCCTCAAAAAACAACATCTATACATACCTTGACAACATCATTTGATGACTCTGTAATGAAGTCTTTAAACACAAGAGTGATCAGTGTCTCTCCTGCATCAATGATGTAGGTACAGAACAGCTTGTTGCCATAATTGCCAGGGTAGTTAGGTGAGGAGATGGAGCCAGAAGAGCCTGTGTAGCGCCCACCGCATCCTGAAGTAGATACAATAAGGCTTGTTAACATGGCTTGTTTATATTGTGTCTTCTCACCAAGAAATTAGAGAAATCAAAGGATTTATAAAAAAAATGGTGTAGTGTGTGAATGAGTAAAAGCTCAAACAGTTGTTTCAGAAGATAACATAATTACTTTTAATGTGGAACAATATTTCTCTGCCAATTCCAGCATGATTAATGCTCTCAATGCAACTGTCAAACCCATTCAACAGGCACATAGTTGAAGGACACCCCAAAATGAAACTTGCTAGAACTGTTTAACGAGTTGGCTTTGCATATATTTTAAGTTATGTATGGTATTCATAAATGCTCAGCTTGCAAAATATCAAAACTTTCAGTAGTTCATTTACATAAAAATAAAATAAAGCGAGTTGAGAAAATATCGACCACATTTATCGGCACACAATTACCAGAAACGGCCATTGTTAACTTTTGGCACTTCACGTTCAGCGGCATGCAGTTGGATATTTTCTTTATAATTTTAAAAAATTTCATATTCGATCATCAAACAATAGTTATCAGTTTTAATAATAAAAACAATACAACCTCTATTACATCATAGCCATAAATCCTGTATTTTGGCAGCAGAGAACACTATTACTTAACCTCTTGATATCTTTAACAGAAATCCACTTCACTGTCAACTATAGTCTGGAAGGTAATTCAAGGTACCAACGTTTACTACAATATCTGAAAAACTATTGGACCTCCTCCAGTCAAAGTTGGTATGAGATTATTAAACAGTCATGCATAACTGGATATTACATTTAACGACAATCGGTGCATGAATAAAAAATCTGTCTCTTTAGCTATCACTATATTTCATCAACAACCAGACCTGTTCATCACGGGTGGAACGAGTATTCATTGTAACAGCCATCTGCATATGCTACCCCTGCGTCACAGGGCCATATGACACAGTTGAACCAATCAACTCTACTCGAAAGGGTGCACGGGAATAACGCACGCACGAATACTGTGTTAGAGTTGGGTGTCTCAACGTGCGTGAATCCCGTGCACCGTTTCGAGTAGAGTTGATTGGTTCAACTGTGTCATATTGCCCTGTGACGCAGGGGTAGCATTATGCAGATGGCTGTTTCAATTGATGCTCGTTCCACCCTTGCTGAACAGGTCTGGTTTTTGATGAAATATAGTGATAGCTAAAGAGACAGATTTTTTTATTCATGCACTGATTGTCTTTAAATGTAATATCCAGTTATGCATGACTGTTTAATAATCTTATACCAACTTTGACTGAAGTAGGTCCGATAGTTTTTCAGATATTGTAGTAAACGTCGGTACCTTAAATTACCTTCCAGACTATACACACAACTAGTTTTTCCCCCCAATAGCACATGTAGATCTTCAGCTCTTCTGTGGATAAAGACAGGAAAAACGCCACTTCTTTCCAAAACATCTCACCACTGGAGGCAGATGAATTGGGGATGTGGGTGGGAGTATTTACTGATGTAATAGAGGTAGTATTCTTAGAATTATTAACAATGATAACTATTGTTTGATAATTCCTGCGAATCCTTTACCTCTATTACATCATAGCCAGAATATACCAGAGGGATAAGGCGGGATCTGCCTCTAGTAACTCCCTGTGTAGTTGACAGCAATCCAATATGAGTTCTTGTATATTTCCAGATTCAAACCCTTTCAAGAGGTAATTACTCTAGAATCTCTTTTAGAGGACTTGAAATAGGGTATTATGATTATATCGGTCAATATGCAATACCTTTAATTGAAGTACCTTATCATTTGCTGATAATCATGAAATGATGTCTTTAGTTCTATTCTAACTCATCATTCTATATTCCTTCCGATTGTGATGTCACTTCTGGTAGATCTGTTTATCATATAATGGGTAGGTTTCTCGGCAGGATAAAGCCAACGGATAACAAGCATGAAATACTCACATCCCCCGCCAATATGACATGTCGGGTGTGTGCAATGCATTAGCTCCTGTGAACTATGTTCACTCGGCCTTTTTGTAAAGAAATATATTATGTTTTTCCAGATCTGCTCCGGAAACGAGGACTACCGCCATTTTCAGTCTAAATCAAAGTCGTTGCCATGGAAACTCGAACAATAACTTTTAAAAAAAATCCCAAACTATCCAAAAGCACCAGTTCACCACTCGACCTATCAATGTGCAAAATATGGTGAAGAAAAATGGTATGGTTTTCAAGATCTGCTCCAGAAACGAGGACTACCACCATTTTCAGTCTAAATCAAAGTCGTTGCAATGGAAACTAAAAAAAAAATTTGTTTTAAAATCTCAAACTATCAAAAGGCACCAGTTCACCACTAGATCTATCTATGTGCCAAGTTTGGTGAAGAAATATGGTATGGTTTTCAAGATCTGCTCCAGAAACGAGGACTACTGCCATTTTCAGTCTAAATCAAAGTCATTGCCATGGAAACTCAAAAAATATTGTTTTTAAAAATCCCAAACTATCAAAAGGCACCAGTTCACCACTAGACCTATCTATGTGCCAAGTATGAAGAAGAAATATGTTACAGTTTTCAAGATCTGCTCCGGAAACGAGGACTACTGCCATTTTTTAGTCTAAATCAAAGTCGTTGCCATGGAAACTCAACAAAAATAATTTGTTTAAAAATCCCAAACTATCAAATGGCACCAGTTCACCACTAGATCTATCTATGTGCCAAGTTTGGTGAAGAAATATGGTACGGTTTTCAAGATCTGCTCCGGAAACGAGGACTACCGCCATTTTCAGTCTAAATCAAAGTCGTTGCCATGGAAACTCAACAAAAATAATTTGTTAAAAAATCCCAAACTATCAAAGGCACCAGATCACCACTAGATCTATCTATGTGCCAAGTTTGGTGAAGAAATATGGTACGGTTTTCAAGATCTGCTCCGGAAACGAGGACTACCGCCATTTTCAGTCTAAATCAAAGTCGTTGCCATGGAAACTCAACAAATATAATTTGTTTAAAAATCCCAAACTATCAAAGGCACCAGTTCACCACTAGATCTATCTATGTGCCAAGTTTGGTGAAGAAATATGGTACGGTTTTCAAGATCTGCTCGGAAACGAGGACTACTG